AGCAATAAGAAACTTAATTAATTCTACTCCAGAATTTACTATTAACAAGTGTCAGAATTTGGTTGAGACCAAGATAGTTTGACTCTATTTTAAAGTTGTATTATAAGACATGAAACAATAAACAATAATACAAGGTACAGTAAGAGAAACTTCAAGTTACGCCAAGGTGCTGGCAGAGGAATAATCGTGACAAAGTGGTGTGAGTTTCCATTGAGGATCTAGAGCAGACTGTGCCAGCTCAAAGAGGCTAGTTAGCACTGTTGTTCTTACTCCCTGTATTCCACAATAATGAGCTTCACATACATAAGTGTTAAATACAATGTATTAAAGAGCATATGAAATAACTTAGAAAAATACAAGCCTACTAAGGATTTCTTTAAATAATATCCGTGTTCTCTCAATATCCACATAGTCTACTTGATTATACAAAGAGTAAGATTCCAACTGGAGTTGCTTCTGAGTGAATATTGAAATATTACAGGATGGTTTAGATACTGGTCTTTTAACCTTATACAATGTATGTACTTTGATCAATATCTGATAATCAGAGATCGTACAAGATGCTCAGATACCAAAAGTATGTTTGATAATTCTTAGGTCTTTGAAATTTTATGTATAAATTTAAGATTACACATTTGCAATATCTACTCCTTAAAAACTCACAGCCAACATAGTCTCGGAAGAAATACAGTCAAATTTGGCTTACCTTTAAGTCCTAAGGGGTTTAAATGAATTGGCCCAGATGAAGAGTCAGAGCCAAAAAATCGTTAAAAGGATGATGCCCCTGGATAGTACACAACTTAATATGAGAAAGAAATTAAGTTGTTGTAAGCTCAGGAAATGTTGAACGATGTTGGTTTCCCTAAGGCCACTTCTCTGTTTACTTACCTAAAAATGTCCCTTGAATATAACTTCCCCAAGGGGGTAATTAAAAGACTTTAGAAACATCTCAATGTTTTGTACATTGATAAGTCACTACTATTCACTTATTAACTATGGTCTGTGGACTTTCCAACCTACTGCTGAGTTAAAATAATCAGTAGTAAAGCTGAAGATACTTTGTGCCTTAGACATTAAAATGAATATCAAACTCATGACAATCAATACATTATTCTCCTAGAAAGTGATGTCTTGATAGTTAACAAATCCTTTGTATGGAACAAGAATTTATCAGTCAGTGTTTCTATACAGTGGAAAACCTAAAATAATGATAGAGATAGTATTGCTAAGTCTCTCTGAGAATGACGTTATGAGACTTGAGGAGGCAGTTGTTTCTGGTTCTTCCATAAACCAATAGTATTTTCCTGAGATACATTTTTTCATATTCCTGATCTATATTATTTGTCAAAACAGGAAATATTAAAAAAAAGGTCACTCCAATTTGTTTTATTTCTAACTTTACACTTAGTTAAGCTAATGTTCTCTGAATAACAGATTACATGCTTTTATAAATCATAGAAGCAGAAACAAGAAAACCATGAATACTTAATCAGAATACTCTTACATTTTTAGAAAATTTCATCAGAGTGCAACTAATTAAGATGATAGCTAAGCTATAAAAACTCAGCAATAACATTTACGAAAGTTAGTTTATATAAATTTAAAGTAAAACAGTCATCACCCTGACTTTTATGTAACATTACCATTTCATCACTGTGTAAAAATGACACAATTATCCTGCTATGACAATTGTTTTTTATGTGTAAGAACAAATCCATGTTTCTTTCTACTATATTTTACAAAAATATCTTAATTAAAATTATGATCACTAAATTTCCATCAGGGAAATGGAGTTACAAAATACTGTGAAATAACATCTTACTCTAATTATATTGGCTATTTTCACACACCAAAAAAATAATGCCAGAGAGGATATATAGGAAAAATGCATTCATATACTTAGGGTTCTATAGGAAATATAAATTAATATATTCATTATGGAAAATATGAAAGGCTCCCTTTAAAAACTAAAAGATAATGTTTACATGTGGTCTACTGGATGTATATCCCAAGGACAAAAAGCAACATGTTAAAGAGCTACTTGCCTTGACATGTTTGGCAGTAGCTAAAATATGGACTTAACCTAGATAGTCAACAAAGGATAAGGAAAATTGTGTGTATGGGCATGTGTGTATACAAAAGAATATCACTAATCTTTACAAAATAATAAAATACTATCAGTTGTAGGGGATTAATAGAATAGAATTGATGAGTATGGAATAGTTGTAACAGGAGACTGGAAGGCTGGTAGACACAAGTAATATAGGACATTTGAATAATAGGTATTGAAACACAGAGAGAATTAAGTCCTGGTGTTCTACATCCCAATGGGCCACAATATCTTATTGCATATTTCGCAAAATCTAAAAACCCAAAGAGTAGTAAGGAAAAAGAAAATGTTATCTCCGTAATTGGATCATGGCACAAACCATGCAGGTATCAAAATAGCACATGTCATTTTATTTCTGTGAATAATTAATACATATTTCATTGATAATGAGACAAGAATTGAAACGTGTTATCAAATTTCATTGGAATAAAGCACCAAGATACATCAAGGCAAGAGCTAGAACAGAACTATTTTTTTATGATACAACACAGTCTACAGTTTGAATATATCTCATCTCCATTTACTATTTTTCTGTCAAATGCTAGCATTTGAGACAATTCCTATGTGTGAATATCTGTAGCCCTCACTACCGGCTTATGACACATTGACAGATATTTTTATTCAGGTACCACTAATCTAAGGGTCTCAGTGATTTTCTTAGTTGGGGTTGATGTTGCTGTGATAAAGCACCAGGACCAAAAGCGACTTAAAGAGCAAAAGATTTATTTTATCTTGTAGCCTGTAGTCTACCACCGAAGGGAGTTAGGGTGGGTGTTCAGGGCAGGAACCTGGAGACAGAAACTAATGCAGAGAATAGAGAGAAGTCTGCTTATTGGCTTGCTCCTTGTGGCTTGTACAGGCTGCTAAGAGTTCTCAGGACCACCAGTCCAAGGGTGGCACAGCCTACAAGATGAGCCATCAATCAAAATGCACCACAGATTGACCCATAGTCGGGTCCACTGTTTTCTTAATTGAAGTTCTTCACAGGTAAGTCTACTTGGTCATGTTGACAAAACCACCGGCAGAGTGAAGTCCACTACTTTCTTTAAGGAGAATCTCAAGAAGGCCAGTTGTTCATGGCTACTTACAAGTTCATGTTAAACATTTACCATGATTTAGAGCTATAAATATACCCAAAATTGAAAATCAAACAGAATTGGTTTCAATCTCTTTGTTTCAGTTTTCCTTTTAACTGCATCAGGGAGGGAAACACAGTGTAAGTTTCGGTAGGTAGACAGACGCTTACAGTCATCACATGGATGTTTAATAATTAAATGAACTATAAGTAAATATAATTGACATTTCCATGACATATATTCAGAAAAGTTGATGTGTTGATAATTAGTTTATAATTACTTGAGAATTATCCAGATTGAAAAAATCTGGAAATTCCAAACTGCCCAGTCTCCTCTGCCTGAAATTTATGACAGTCTAATAATTCTGCATTTAATTCTTTGCCCAGAATTAAGTAAAATGATATACATGACTGCAAGTAATAAAACTGGTCTTTGATTTCTCAGAGAAAGAGAGAACTGCCCTGTGCAAACACTTGTGTTTGCAACAGTCTGAAACACATAGATTTTAATGAGGCACAAGACCTCGCCATTTTGTTCAAGACTTTTGAAAGCAACTTCTAAGCAACATTTGAATTTAGTTGCAAAGGCTCTTTTTGAATTATCTGTGTCAGTTTTTAAGAAACAAGACTAAGTTGCTCTTACTTTCAAAGAACAAAGATAAATTTGTTAAAAATCCCTGGGAGAATGGGACCAGGGAGAAGGTTCAGTGGTTAAAAATACTTGTTGCTCTTGCACAGGACTCAGGTTCACTGCCTAGCACCCATGGGGTAGCTCATAAGTATCTGTACTGCTATTCCAGGGGATCCAATGCCATCTTCTGGCCATCAGGTGCATGCTTGGTACACAGACATATATGTAGACAAAAATCACTATATATATTAAATAAATAAATTACATATATAATTCATATATGTGTACATACAGTTGGCTATAATAAAATGATAGAAAGCTTATGAAGATGAAAAAAGATATGAGCCTTTTAAAAATTACATAAAAAAATCTTTGGTATCTGGAAATGTAGATATTACAAGACAGTACTAAATGACTTTAAAATAATATTATCCTATCATTTGATGTTAAGTTGGAGATGCAGTGATTAAAATTTCATGGTAGCTAATAAATGCCAGTAGCGGACATATTTAAATTCCATGAAAAATAAGAATGCAATTTCAGACAATTATCAGAAAACTGGTTTCAAATTTTGAAATGTATAAATTTTTATATGACTGAGGAAAACAATTTTACCGTCATTCGAAAAATGGCAGTTGTGAAACATTTACCCACAGCCCCAAAGTTTATTATTATTAACTCCAAAACATACATTGATTTACTATACTTGCTTTACTTTCTCGTATTTTTGTTTTAAAATGCATCTAACCTCTTACGTTTATTCAAACAATAAACATTCCCATGACTACATTACATGTCTCTTCATCTACCAGAAAGATTTTGTTTTATGTGAACTTGTTACCATAGTGCTTTGGTATTAGACTGAAGCCAAGGAGAAAGAAAGTAGTAAAAAGAACATTCTAACTTAAGAATTCTTCCAGTGACAGCAGCGGGGAGGGGCACTTAAAATCAAATATGAATATTCTTTAGAAAATGACAAATCTCCAGAAATTTAAGAACAATTACCACAGTGGCTTTTTATTGTATAACATAATAAACTATACATAAAACATCAAATAGCCAAGATATTCTAGAAAAGCAACATGAATTAGCTATCAGTGGCAAATGTGCTTGACTAATATTGGCACAGTTCTTCATTGTGGAGAGATGGGAGAATCTCACAGAAACAAGCTCACTTTGATTACCTTTGCCTCACTCTTGTACTTATGGTTCCCGATCACAGATTATAGGACACAGTCTCTGAATATTCCCCTGTAATGAACAGAAATACTGAAGAGAAGAAAAGTAATATTTAATGTTACTGTAGTTTATACCTTTAATATTACTTTCATCTTTACAAACCTAAAACTTAGTAGACTAAGTCAATAAATCTTTAAATATTAATCTTTTGTTCTTACTGGTAAGAAATCCAGAATCAAAGATTTGAAAATCTTTTCCTATCTTGTGGTTAAAAACACAAATACGAGAATGATTTGAGTTTTAGTTTCTTGTTTCGCAGTTCTAGAATGTACTGTTATTCAAATGATGAACTTTATAAATTACTCACCAGGTACTCGCTATGAAGAACTGGAGGTCGAGACTGTGTTTTTAGAGACACTATTTAATAGAAACCTCCTTCTCTGAGTTGTTTTGAATAGTGAAGCCTGAATACTAATGAATTACTTAAAGCTGTGTACTACACTTTACAAAGCCAGTTGCTGTTTTATGTGTAAAAAGCTCAAGAGAGCTTTGGATGTTGGTTAAAATAGTAGGTAGAATAAAATACAATAAAAGAATATATCTATTCTGAACTTACTGCTCTAAAATAGTTGGGATCAACAGTGAAAGCCCTTTGTTTTTGCTGTCAAAGCTCCTGGTTGGGAAAGAAAAGTAAACTACAGAGGCTGCTGGAAGGCTCCACAACCCTAGGAGTCAATCACAGGAACTGTGGCTGAGCTCCACAACAGCAAAGGCAAGAGCATGTTTCCTGTAAGGGAGAAAGAAGAGAGGAAATGTGACCAAGAAAACACCAAGCAAATTCTACTCCTTAAATGGTGCTGTACCAGCCCAAGACAAGTCGAAATATCTACCACCACTTCACACCTGCAATTGGTAACAATGTCAACATCCAAATAAAAGTAGCCAGAGAGTCTTTCAATTTCTCACATTGCCAAAATGCGTGCTAGGATGTGCTTCCTGCTTCTGTTCCTAAGTTTCATATCTGATTGCTGATGTGACAGAATAAGTTGACATTGAAGCCTCCCATTTTGCAATATATGGAGGATATAACTATTTTTTTTATTCTCCTATGTGAATATCTCAAGCACACATGCTGTTTGTTTCAGATGAAAGATCTTGACTGGAGATTTTTATTTCAGTCTGTTTCAGGGACGAAGTCCAGCACAGTCCAAATGGCATGTTTCTATGGGAAACAGTCACAGCATGGCAAAGCACCCAGAGGCTGTTAAACATTTGAAAAGATCAGTGCAATAAACAAAGAAAAAAGATTCCTAGATTGCCTCTGTATGTCTTGTAGCCTGCAAGTGATTGGTAGCCTTTAAACATGCTCCCATGTTTCCCTACTACAGGAGACTGAAGATTTTTGTTCTAGTAAAATTGTATTATGGAATTATTGCTTACAATCATAGGACAAAGTTGAAACAAATGTGTGTATACATATACATGTACATATGTATGTATGTATAAACAGAGAAATTAGAAGACAGATCATATCCTGTTCTTTTCACTGAAGTTCAGACCACTAAGCTTGGTCTCCTGAAAATGAACCAGGGAATTCAACAACAATCAACTTGATTTCACATTCCTTTTTGCTTCCTCTCTGCTGCCAAGTAGAAACTGAAGGTACCAGGACACTGGCAGTATAATCCATAAACATTATCCTCCCAGTCCAAGAACCAACATGGAGAAAAGAGGTCTTAAGTAAGTATACTGAAAAAAGCCAACACAGTACCTTAGAGGATTTTCAGAGGTGTTACTTTCATTAATTCTAGTTACAATTGTTATTTTTAAGCTATTGCCAAATTGACTGCTGAAAATCGTTTAAGATGTTTTATAGAAATAAATATATAATAAATAATTCCTAGGGAAAAAATTTATGGATTGGTGGAATCTATATCTATGGTGTGTGGCTGTAAATACATTTGGAACACATAAACAAATACCACTATATAGACAGTGTATGGACAAAAGTGAAAAAAATATGACTTTCATTATACATGACACAAAAATTATGGGTTTGGAGAAGGATGTGATCTGAGTGGATTTTATCAATATTACTCAGGCTCTGGCAATACTAGACCTAAAAAGAAAGTATATATACCCCATTTCTTTTAATCATCCATTATATATATATATATATATATATATATGCAATTTTAAAGTGTGAATTTTGGTTTTACTAGGGACAGGCATCTCGAATAAGTTAAATCTTAATAATGTTAGAGGCCTTATGGAAAGCATCCATGTGATAAATTCAGCATCTCTACAGGAAGTACATGAAAGGAAATAAAAAAGACAGTGTTCTAGGTATGGCAGAAGGTTAAGAGCGACATTCAGAAGCACTAGAACTTTTGAGAGCCTACCTATTCTTGAAGGACATCAACACAGCCAATGACTCAGATTATAAAGGCCTGCAGAGCAGTAGGAATAGACATAGGAGTTGAGTCTATAAATATTACCAAATAGTTCTATCACAAAAAGTCAGGAATCAAGTGACTCCACAAAGTAAACTGCACATGGAATAACTATGTGTTTTTGTAGATGTAAGAAAGCTGAGATCTTTAGATTCATCGGCAGAAATGACTAGCAGATCTTTCTGAAGTCTTCATTAAGAACAATCACTAAGCTTGGCATGCTGGAGCATGCCTTTAATCCCAGCACTTGGGAGGCAGAAGCAGGCAGAGCTCCAGTCCAGCCTGGTCCAGAGATTGAGCTCCAGGTCAGTCAGAACTACACAGAGAAACTCTGTCTCAAAAACAAACAAACAAACAAACAAACAAACAAAAATCACTAATGGAGACTGTTTTAAATTTAGTATTTTACCTATGAGTAGTTTTCATCAATATGTACATTAGAAATTCCCTTCCTTCAATACAACTTCAGTCTTACATTTGAGATTTAGGACAAAATGATTGAATATTTCAGTTAAAATAAAAGCTTGATATTTTAAAAGATAATACAAATGATAGAAATATCAGGTTATTTGAAGCATATTTAGAGGCTTCTAGAACTGGCTATTATTAAAGGTGAGTGTATATGACTTGATAGTCAGAGATTCGCCTCACCCCTTTATTGATTCATCAATTATTTTAGAACTTGGTATGCAAGGCTATTATTCTATGTGCTTGACTTATGTCAGTGAGTAAGAGTCAGTTGCATTCAAACATGGAGTTTAATTTTATTTGATGTGAAGACAAACTGAAAATAAATATTACATCCTTCACCACTTGATCAAGCTACAATCTGACTGACACTTATTTTGCTGTCACAGTTTGAATCTTTGCAAATGGCTACTATTTTCTAGTGAGATGTACTTAGTCCCTGCAAATACATCGCCACACAATAGTGAGTAAGGTACTACAGAATGATCAGCCCTAAAAGGAGTAGATATCACTCATCCTCCCTTCCAGGTTCAGGGATCATTGGGAGCTGAATGGAATGTAAAAGGCCAGAGGTAGTTGGTGAGTACAAGGAAGCATTGAATTCTTCACAAAGAAGGGGGGTGGCAAATATGAACTCATAGATATTATGACAATATGCATAAACCTCCCACAAGTCTGAGCCAGGCCAAATTCTAGCATGGAGAGGGAGTTGGGCACATGACACCATTCTGAGACCTGGAGACATGGCAATTGTTAGCTGCTGGGAGAATGGGGTGCAATTATCTCTAAGAGTGTAGCCCCAGCAAGCAGACCATGCTCCAGTGGAAGAGCACACATTAAAGAATATTCTAGGCACCACAAATTGGTCTTGAAGAGTCTCAAAAGGAAATAAAATGTTGCAAAGTTGGAGGTGGTAAGGAAGAGAAGAGGATCTGGGTTGAATTGGTGGACTGGTGGAGGCAGCTGAGTATGATCTAAACATGTAAGAAACTCTCAAACATAGTGTCTGTTCTGTTCTCTGACCCCCAGATAAGTTTATTGGGGTGCACAATATATCAATCACAGATATATTTTATATATTTATTCATATCCACATATATATTATAATGTCATATAACACATTATAGCACACAATACTTCTGCCTCAGGGTTCTAACTTAATCTTATCCCAGAACTCAAGAGCCTGAGACAAATGGATCATGAGATTTGTCATACAGCATTGGCTACATAGCAAGACTCTGCTTCAAATTGAAATGAACACCAAAATCTGTTATTTTTTTTTTTTTTTTTCTGGTAATCAAGAGAGATTTATTTTGGGGGTAACTTACAGCCAAAAGGGGTTGGTTACAGGATCTGGGAGAGATGAAGGTACCATTCAGCGGAGAACTCTTAGCATTCAGGAGGCAGAGATTCACCTTGGATCTCTCTGAGTTCAAAGCCACACTGGAAACAGCCAGGTATTGTGACACACACCTTTAATTCCAAGAAGTAAGGGCAGGAAGCAGAAAGGTATATAAGGCATGAGGACCAGGAACTAGAGTCTCTTTAAGCTTTTGGCTTTTAGCAGCTGTTCAGCTGAGATCCATTCGGATGAGGACAGACAGGCTTCCAGTTTGAGAAAACAGGATCAGCTGAGGAATTGGCGAGGTGAGGTTAGCTGTGGCTTGTTCTGTTTCTCTGATCTTTCAGCATTAACCCCGATATCTGGCTCCTGGGTTTGTTTTTATTAATAAGACCTTCTAACAATTCATGCTACATATACCCATCTACCTATTTGTTTTTGAGATGTATATATATTAGAATGCCGTGATGGATGTTAGCACCATAAAATCTTGTTGATAAACTTCCATAGCCATTGATTGATATTTCTGAAAGTAATAAAGTATTTGTTATTGGGAAAAAAAAAAAAAATAAAAAAAAAAAAAAAAAAAAAAAAAAAAAAAAAGAAACTCTCAAACAATTACTATGAGCTAAAAAAAAGATGTGATCCACCGCCATCTGGCCTGCTTTATTCATAAATGGCTTATGTTTATAACTGTATTACTCAACTAGTGCTTTATTGGGAAATCACCTGTTTGTGATATTTTGATTGTGTACTGACAAATAAAGCTTGACTGGAGTCAGAGGTCAGAGATAGCATCGAGCTGACCAAACTTAAACCATAGAGGTTTGGAAAACTATAGACAGATCGGAAATAGGAAGTAGTAAGACAAGGCTGAGAAGATCTCAGCCCTTTTGGAAGAAGGGACGGTGAGATAGGAGGTGACTGGTGGCTGCTCCCCTGCTTCTCTGATCTTTCAGGTTCTTACTCCAATATCTCATTCCTGGTTTTTTATTGACAAAGAAAAGTTAGGTAAGGCTTCATCTGGCGACCAGCATTAGGGCGTTGCTAGAACACACGAGAGTGCATCCAGCCAGCACAGTTTCTCTGTGGTCCAGAGGAGGCTGCTGCCTTCTCAGGCATGGACTATTGATCTGCTGCTGCCCTCCCAGATCAGTTCTGCTTGGCAGGC